GTGGAGGGCTCCGGAAATTTAGACCACCTGGGGTTCTTTAACGTGCACCCAAATCTGAGCACACGGGCCTACAACATTTCCGCCTCCATCGGAAATGCAGCCGCCGCAGCCGGGACTCGATCCCACGACCTGCGGGTTAGCAGCCGACTATCTTAGCCACTAGAGCACCACGGCGGGGCCAATCACACGCATATACTCACACATACACACAAGCACTTTTTATTGGATGGACGAATGTTTGTCGAAAAAGAAACTGAATTATAGATGCGTAAACAAGAAGTCCAGTGTCTTACGGTGTTTTTTACGCGCAAAGCAGGCAACCGTTGCCCATATAGAAGAGGTGCTGGTTGAAAGTTTGCACGTTCTCTTGGTGTTGTATTGGTACAGACAGCATATTCCGGCTACTAAAGACTAACCATTTATTGGGCGCATTCTTGTTGAATACTAAGTGCAAAAAATGCATGCTCTGCAGTGATAGGGCAGATCAGAGCGTTGGTCATCCAGAATATGCTGCAAAAGGTGTTGGAACTTCTACATGTGGAATCAAATATTCCAACGTTATCGCTGGTGGCCACGTTATTAGTCCCAGGATAAACTAAACTGTTCGCGTTGGTCGCACGACCTGAACAGAAGATTGTAAAATAATCGATGGAAGTTTCAGAAACAATTCGGTGTGGGTCGCGCAAGACACCGGTTACACGTGTAACGAATGAACAGATTACACAAAGTATAAGAAGAAGCGTGTGTGGCAGTAAAAAAACTGGTTTTAGCACTTTGCTGCTTGTATTGCCTTACAGGTTTTTCCCCGGTAGGAGGGATGTGCATTTTAGGACAAAACGCCTTAATCTCTGAAGACATGTTCCTATCATTTTCTGGATTGGATGTGACAGCGCACGAATTCGGACACATGTAAGTGTGGTTTCAGCAAATAATTAGCGACGGCTTCAGGTATTACGTAACGCTAACGTAAATGCCACAGAAATGTTACTTTGCAATCCTTGTCATTTTTACAATGCTTGCACTCTAAATGTATCGGGAATCAGCGAACGTAACTTGTTTTATAGCCATCTGGAACCAAAAGACAGTGGTCACGCTAAGTCGTTTTTCAGACCCACATTTGTTTACCGACTGGAACTGCGGGCTTTGATAAATCAGAACGCTTTTTTCGCAAAAGAAGTAAGCGTCTCTCAGGGTGAAAGGGTATGCTTGCCAGAAATAACTCACTTGGCGAATCTCGCGATTTTCATTTACTGATGTGTTCTCATTGAATACGCGCGGAAAACTGCTTGACACTTGAAATAACCATGATGTATTATCTATATAATCAAGTTAGGGTAACATCAATTTTAGTTATGAAAAATGAAGTTCCTGCTTCGGCTCCGGGGGGAGGGGGGTGTCAAGTAAGCTGAAATTCGCAGTAAACGAGCCAGCAACACTGCGAACAGGAACAGCTATTATTTCACGACTCAAAGGAATCACAACCAGCCTTCACGGCTGGCACAACACAGCACTAACGCACAAAGGAGGACCAAAACCCCGGAATGAATACTCTCCGGAGACTTGCGGTCAATGAAACATACTGCACGATACATAACGGCAGGACAGCCGGCGCGAAATATACTAGAAGAAAAGCGAACTCACATACAACTCGTAGTGTAATAACGAGCCAGCAACTCAACTTAGCTTACGCTTCAAACTGGTGGTGCCTCTGCTCTGCAGCATACAAGGAGAAAAAACCTCCTGCCTAGCGTGGCCGTCCTTGAATCCCATCACCATGCCGCCGAAACGTCTGTGGGGTGGTCTCACCCTTTTTCGTATCAGCTCCCACGTTTCCGCCCCCTGTGTTTTTTAAAGACGATAGTCTTTCTTGGGGACCTTCGACGCAAAAATTTTGGTGCCGTTGTCAGATGGGAAGGAGAAGCGGTGCGAAACTCTTTGTGCCAGAGTCACACCTAACTCATCAACCCATCATCATCCGTACGTCTGTTCTGACAATTCCCCCCCCTCTCCCCCCAGGGTCATAGTAGGGGAAGTTTTGTTTCGGGCAGACGGCCATATCCTGGCAAGGGGGTCACCACTCGGCGCCAAGTGCCAAACAGATGAGGCCTGCCTCCCAGCGTACAATCGAAGGAGACCCAACAAAGGGACTACCCTTCAGTGCAAATATTTTGGTCGAGGCGCACAAAGCGAACGTTCCCTGCAAGGTGGACTATCGCAGCGCGGGGGCGCGCTGCGGTCATGGCCCGTCTTCTGACCACTAGGGTCCAGCGAGACTCAACAGGGGGGCGACCCTTCGGCACGGCGACTTCAGGCACCTCACGCGAAGCGGACGTACCCAAACACGTGACAACGGGACTGCCCTTCGGCGTGGTAACTTCAGTTACCGCACCCAAAGTGCACGTGCTCTCACACTGTCGTGTGGCTCAGAGCCTGCGGCGTCCCCTCAGGACCAATGAGCTATCGCTCGGTGCAAGGCGCTTTGCGGTCACGGCCAGTCTCCTTACCACTATGGCGCGGTGAGAAACAATCCGTTCCTTGGGGAGTACGAAACTACTGTTGGGTACAGAGGCCAATGTCGCTGCACTCAAACTGAACTCACTCTGGGAAATCAGCTCGGCTGAAAGCAGGCTTAAGCCTGTTTCACATGCGAGCGAGTTTGCTCCAAGAGCGGAGCGGCGGCCGCTGTGCGAGTCCAAAACAGGTTTCTACAGCGGTGACAGGACGCCCTTGTGAATATCGCCATAGTTGGAAAAACTCACTCACGGTAGAAGCGGCAGAGTTACCAGTGTCATTGTTGTTTCACACGTGATTCCAGGGGTGGAGTCAAGTAGTGTACACACGTGCTGCAGGAAACTCGCTTCACAGAACTCGCTCCGACTGAGTAGCAGACGACATCCGTCCTCTCCCCGACTCACAAATGTCTCGCGCTGCTTTGAACGAGTTGCTCATTGCAGAAGTTGTGAAGCGACCTCGTCTTTAGGACGTCAAGAAGAGGATTTCTGCAAGAAGCACAACAAAAACATTCTTTGAGAAGAAATTGCTGAGCTTCTTAGGAAGTCGCATACTTCCGTAAAGTAGTGGTCGTCGCTTGACCTGGCCATGTTCACTGATGAAGTCGAAATTCAGCTGTTTCGATTTTGTTGCTCTCGACGATGCTTCCACCGGAGTGATATTTATGTGTGGTACCTTTTTTAATTCAATATTAATTTTACCACTTTATTTATTTTTTGCATTTTCATAGATTCTCACTCCCACGTACAGGAGCCGCATGCCATGCCGCACTTCTGTGTCGCAGTAAACGTCACTGGTTTAAGAAACTATGAAATTTGGTGACACGCTGCATAGATTAAAGGGTTCACATGAACGAGAGAGCAAGGTGGGTGCGGCAGCAGTCGACTTGATAAGTAACATTCAACACAGGTCACTAAAAAGGAGTTTTGTGGCCAATTTTTTTTTCAACGCTGGCGCTTGTCATGCGCGTGGGTAATGCGCGGGTGTTCTCCTCGCCCTCATTCCACCATGCGTGCTGCACATGACGGCCCGTCAGCCCGACAAAAGAACAGAACGAATAGCAATATGTGTAATGATACGGTGAGATATATGTAGAAAGAAGTTACCAGCAACGATGCACCAGCACCTATGGTTGGGTGAGTTGGTTTCTAACTATGAATACGAGTATGTGAAACAGCATACTGAACAGATCAAAGCGGATAAAAAATGATAGTGCCTTACGCATGTATCTTTGCTGGTTCCTGTTCGGAACGCTGCTTTTCACACACGTTGTGATGACAGGGTACCACACCAGGTAGCACCGTAGCAGTTCTCTAATTTTCCTGTCTTTCCTTTGATATATAGTACTATTTCCTCCTCTCTCTTTTTCGCCTTCTGACTGGACAGTATACTGAATAGGGGACTGCTGGTACTTGCGCCGTTTTAAATAGTATGTTCTTAAGAAACACAGGAATTTGTGTAAGGCAGAAGCACCACGTTCGAAATAAGCCATGTTGCTTCGAGGGTTGCAGACAATACAGGCACTTTCCTCTGAATACCTGTCTACCGGAACATAGAAAACGACTATGTCAAGTGGCAGTGGTTCATTTAGACTCAGTCTTACGCGCCCACAATAACAAGAACCGCGCTTTGCAAATCCTATGCAGGATGGCTAACCAACTCTAGCCAATGCTTCGAAAAATCGGCACGTTCTGATCTGCTCGCCATCCTGAGTGTGACCTTCCTATTTGGTGCTATCGCATTCATTTCTTCGCCTTTGCGGTGAAGCTGTGACTTTTTTTTTTCTTTTAGTGCGCGGCTTACCTGCAATGAGATCGTGAGAGAGAGCGCGGGCCTGTAGGGGCATCCTGCGGCAGTCACGGTAGCTATGTAGTTCACGATTATGAAATCAGCCAATGGCCGTGAACATTTGAGAATATAAGGCACTGTATTTTAGCATTTGGCTTCATGTGCACAGAAAGAAGAGAAAGTGACTCCTACAAGATTTTGATAAATATTTGTCAATCCCTGGCCACGTGCTTGACTATATTATTTAGCTTACGTGTTTTCGGGAGCCGCAACTACAGATGAGTAGCGTTTTTTTTTTACAATTCTCAAAAAGCGTTGTAGAGCCTGTTTAAAGAATGTAGATACTTCCTACATACTCCACAAGAAATCAAGGCGATAGTTCAGCGATTCATCCAGTTTTGGGGAAGGAACAGCACTTTTTGAAAGGGCCAAAATGGCAGTACACGAACAGCGCTTGCTGTTTCCTTTGTCAGAATCGCAAGTTCGACTTCTTCGCATGAGCATGTACAAACCAGAGTGGACAATTGGGCCAGTTGGTGACTCATGATCGATGTATACTGCGGTGCGTGATAAACTTTGAGTTGATAGTAAAAAAACTGTGCTTGCTTTTGTCTGCCTGTAGTGCGTGTTTTCAAAGTACTCATCGGTCATGTACAAACCCACTTCGGCTAGCATATGTCGGCTCAGTAGGTTATATGCGAATACAACTATCTAACCTTTTCTTTCATCCCTTAGGTTGGGAGCCCCGCATGACGTGTACCCTCAACCGTATCATCAGACATGCGGATGGGAGCTTGGGTACATCATGAGCTACCATGATGGTGGGCTGAGAAAACACTACTTTTCACCGTGCAGCGAAAGCCTGATCCGAACATCCCTCAGGTACTGTGTTGTGTGAGCAATGGACTTTTATTGCGAGAAAACAGAAAGCCTAAGTACACGAGTATGCACTAAACAATAACTACAGTTTACTTAAAAGAAATTTTTTGTTGGCTCCCTGTGCACTTGTTTAGGTAATGTTCAGGCTGTACCATCTACAAATGGTCTGTGAGGCTGGACGATATCGACGTATTTACAGTAGACTGCAAAAAAAAAAAAATGGCAGACCCCTCGTACAGTGAGAATTTATGATATGCGAAGCACGAATGATAAATGTTGATATGTCACTTTAAAATAAGCGAAACGTTACGAGGTGAAGGTAAATGATGTCGTACATGACTTCCGTGTCATGATTATCATGTTTGAGTTTGTCGCTTACCTTCGTCATCCATTCACATCACGTGATGCCAAATTCAGTATATGTGGAGCTAGCGAAACGGCCGCAAGCACGCTTTGGGCGTAGTATGTTGTCATGCTCTTATATGATGTGCATGTCAGGATTATCATGTTGCGCCAGTTTTACACCTTTGTCATCTATTGACGTCATGTAACACCGAATTTGGTATACGTTGAGCTAGCAAAACGGCCGCGAGCACATCATGAAGGCCCCAATATACTCCAATGTAGCGTTGACGTGCGCGCATGCTGGGCACAGTGACGCTACGTTAGCAAAACGCGAGCACTCTATAGTCTGACGCCAGGCGTGACCAGTGTCCGTCGGCGCGACCCGACGGCAACCGAAATACGACATGCTGCATTTCGCTCCGATGCGTTACCCAGACAACTCTGTGTCTCCCTCTATTCGTGATGGAGAGACACTGGACCCGCTGAAACGCGCATACGTCAAAGCAATGCAGCGCGGCGCGCGCCCGCGAGTATATGGCAGGACCGGTGCTTGTCGTGGCAATGCCGGCGTGACGCGACGAAATGAACGTTGGCGAGCACGCGTACTGCGTCACGTCGAAATGCTTTGGCACCTTGAATGTGGCATGTAGTCATGTTCTCGGATGACACGCATCTCATGACAAACTTGTTTGCACCTGGCACATACCTTCGTCATCTATTGGCGTCAAGTAATACCAAATTTGACATTTATGTTACACGACACGCATGTCGTAGTTATCATGCTTGCATGTGCCATTTACCTATGTCGTCCGGTCGCGTCGCGTAATAACGAGCTTGGTACATGTGAAGCTAGCGAAACGGCCACGAGCGCATCAAGACCGTGGCATGTAGTCATGTTCTACATGGCACGCATCTCATGATTATCGAGTTTGCACCAGTCCCATACTTTCGTCATCCATTCACATACTATAAAACCAAATGTGATATATTTGACGCAAGCGAAACGGTCGCGTGCACATCATGAGCGTCACATGTAGTCAAGTTCTTACATGGCACGCATATCATTATTTGCATGTTAGAGTCTGTCGCTTGGGTTCGCCATGCGATCATGCCATACCACACCAATTTTGCAACATGCCATGTGAACGAAACCACCGCAAGAGCTGCAGGACAATGAAATGTAATTCATGACATTCATGACACACATGTCATGATTTTCGTGTAATGACTCGTCAAATGTATTCTTCCTACAGTGATGTTACGCCATGCGAAGCTTGGTGTCAACACCATTATCGAAACGGCCAACAGAGCTAGAGGTCATAAGCGGCTAGATAGATAGATAGATAGATAGATAGATAGATAGATAGATAGATAGATAGATAGATAGATAGATAGATAGATAGATAGATAGATAGATAGATAGATAGATAGATAGATTTCACCTCCTTCTTAGCCTGTTCCAAATCGTTGTCATTGGCAGGTGAACTGAGCGACTGATGCACAGGGCTAACGAGGAACACATTACCGTTAGTTCACCGGTATAGTGTGCACTTGGCGCGTTCACTGTCGCCATAGTTGGAAACCAAATGTCGCATGATCGCACGTCTGCCTGCAAGTACTGTGAAGCGCGCCCATGCATCAAAGTGATCTGCCGCTCAGAACACTACGCGCCTGTCACTCCATTTGTAACGTTCTCTTAATCATTACACAAACTTGTCTCATGTAGTTTTTTTTTCTTAACTATGAGTGATGGAACCTGTGGATGTGTTTTGTCCGCCATTGCTGCTAAAAGATGTCCTAAGTAGAGGCTTATTAGTGTCACCTACGCCAGAGTCTATATGTTCGCGTATTAGTGTCCCCTATGCCAGAGTCCAGATGTTTACGACACAGAAGCTGCACGTAAGCGCCATCAAAGCGTGAAACCATCACTGCTACCGAGACATTCGTGCATGCCCCTGCCGATTTCTTTCCCTATTTGGTCCCATAATAAACGTGCCCTAACAGCCGCAGTCAGAGTTAGCATTCGTAGTATCGTAATCAAACTCTTTTCATTTTATTTGATGCGCAGCAACCTATAGTGGAGTTAAATGTAGTGCGTGGCGTGTCCACCCTTACGGCTCATGCGCAACCGCTGGCCCAAGCACTGCCAGTATGCGCTCGCGCACTGGCGTGTTCTGGCCTGTAATGACGCTGTGGCCTGTTCCCCTCACATTATCTCCGCAATCACGAGATGGCGTCAGGGAACAAGACTCTGCAGACGCGCGATGAATGCACGTGTTCTCATTTGCCGTGGTGACGAAGCTGCCTAGCGTGCTCTAACAAAAGCTCGGGGTGAATAACAGCAACAGAAACTATGGTAAGTTCATCGTTGTGCTCCACTTGCAGGGAGGCGTTACCATTGGGCAACGTTCCCGTGAAGAACACAACTTTGACCCATGCGCTACCTTGCATGCTAATCATTGTTCCTTGCCCCGCCACGGTGGTCTAGTGGCTAACGTACTCGGCTGCTGACCCGCAGGTCGCGGGATCAAATTTCGGCTGTGGCGGCTGCATTTCCGATGGAGGCGGAAATGTTGTAGGCCCGTGTACTCAGATTTCGGTGCACGTTAAAGAAGCCCAGGTGATCGAAATTTCCGGAGCCCTTCACTACGACGTCTCTCATAATCAAATAATGGTTTTGGGACGCTAAACCCCACAAATCAATCAATACTCATTGTTTCTTTTAGTAGGGAATGGTGTAATTTATTTCCAATCGAGAATGGCATGAAAACGTGGCGATATGAACGTGCGGTTTCACACACGTATTCAATGTAAAAAATATGCCAGACTCACTAAGAACTCGAGAAAATTTAGCGCTGCACTTTTTCATAAAAGAGAAATACACTATAGTAGGCTAGGTTTAGGAAGATTCCTGCTCCCTGCCTCATATATCGACCTCTCTGCACCTCCCTAGCATGAAACTCTACTGGTATGCAAAATACCATCGCCGATATTGAGCACCTTGTATGTATTAGTATCCCAAAAGTAACGTTGTTATTGTTTCACGTAGGCCGCGTCCAAGCTTCTTCACACCTAATTACGTCTTTGCACCCTGAACTTTTGTAATTGCCCTCAATTTCATGAACTTGCTCGTCAGTCCTGTGCATCATCGCAAACACCACTATAACACGACACTTTCACTATAGAGTGCATCACGAGGCTTCATAGCATGCTTATAAAGTATCCAGCGCCACTCATTTTCACAATAAAAGACTCCTGTCACGATGGTGGCCCCACACATGGCACCTTCTGTTATGATCTTCTTTGTTACTTTTTATACCGGCTTATGAGAAATTTTCCTTTACACCAAGTATACTTGTATATTACACAATTTCTTACTCTAAGAGGGTATGTTGTAAAACTAACGCCGTTGATACCATCGCTTATAAACTCGTGTGTGTAAAGAAAAAAGTGCAACACAGGATCGCCGATAAGCCCTTGAATTTTCAGTAAACCGAGGTCCTATATAAATCGCTGGCGCACTAGTTGGCATGAATCCGTGGTGCTTTTTCGGCGTAGAATAACAACCCATGTCAGATGACGGGAGAAAACATTACTCAAAACAGACAGCCTTTATTGCGTCAATGTATACAAAGGAGAATGAAGCAATAAATAACATCACTTGAAAGTAGTACTGAGTCCTATCTGCTACGATGTCGTCTCATTCCTCGCTAAAAAACCCTAAGTGCCAAGAACGTAGTGCTAACCTATACCGCTATCTATATCAACCAAGCTCACACACTTCCCCTTCAAACGAATGAGCAAACCTGAAAATGTTCTTTGGATCAATTTGCGTACGTACAGACTACTTCTGATCCATGTGTAGCTTTCAAGTGTATTATGTCCTCGGCAAAAATGAATAGAATGTCTGAAAATACTAAAAAATGTTTCACAGAATGGTCGTAATCTTTTGTCGTGTACGTGCAGAAAAAATCGAATAGGTTCTGACATAGTAAATTAACAAAGGTACGCCTGGTAACGGGATTTTCGGAATGTCTGAAATAAAAAAAAAACATTGTCTGTACACATGTCTGACGTAGTTGTCGTTATTCCCATTCTATGTATTCCTTCAGCTTTCTTTGTTTTCAAACTGTATTAAAACAAAATTTCAGAAAATAACAAAATTTTATTATTATTCCCATGGGAAATATAGAGTTGCCTGTTAATCGGCAGCCAACTCTACATCGTTGTTACCTTTATATTAGGGTAACAGAACAGCAAAGATAACGAATCGTTGTGGTTGCCTCATACTTACTGCTTTGTACAGTATTCCCCTAGAAAATGTTTAGTACCTTACTTCTGCTGACGCTCTTTTGATGCGCCTTTCTCACAGAGGACAGAGCGCGCGCAGGGAACCCTTTTGTGCGATGATTACTATGAATGTGAAAATACTTTGTCGGTGACCTTGCGTTTTTTTGTAGCTCAAAACTGCCGTCGTGTTTGGCGCTGAATTTCGTCCACGACTACCTTACCCAAGTTCCCGGAGTGTACCCTGGAAATGAGTTTAATGGCAATCTTTTCTGCAAAGCCATGCATCGGCACATACCCACCATCTATTTTCCGGTAAGTAAATGTGCGCTAACATCTTGAAGTGACAACACATGCTTTCAATTATGTTGTTTCGCAAACGAAGATGGACACAACAAAGACACACGAGGAAAGAAACACATGGCGCTGTCTTCCTTGGGTGTTCGCCTATTTGCGCTGGCCTATAACTTATAAATTCAATACCAACAAGCTGTTTAACATCTTTAGTTGAATGCATACTAACTTGGTAATTACATTTACGTCATATTTGTCAGCAAAAGCTCTCTGTTGGGACAAACAACGCCTCTCATTCTTTAGTAATAATGAAATATTGCATAACCAAACCGGCGAGGAACACCAGCCGTCACGTCGCCGCTTTGGTCTGATGATTACGGCGCTCTAACGCTGACCCGAAGTTCACATAATCTAATCCTGGCCACGGCACCCACATTTTAATGGAGGTGAAATGAAGAAACAGTGAATGCCCGTGTGCTTATATTTAGGGGTACGCTTAAGGACGGAAGATGTTCAAAATTTCGGAGCCTTCATCTATACGGCGTCTCCCATAACCATATAGTGCTCTTGGGAGTAAAACCCAAACAGTTGCTATGAGACACACTGTCAGTGCAAGTTTGTATTCCTTGTGTGGCATGTTCAGCTGTCCTGGCCAGCGCCTCCTAGAGTTCTAGGTGGCTTTGTCCTGGCACTGGTGAGCTGTGGCATCAGTGCTGTGAAGCGTGTTCAAGTATACCTAGCAGGGCGATGAAGTACTGTAGTTGTCCAGCATGTCGTCTATCCGTTGATCTCATGTGGCATCATCACGCTCATAATCAAGTGGTCAACAGATGCTTAAAACAGCGCTAGCTATTCTCTAAAGCAGGTTAATTGTTTTATTTATATTTAGCAAAATATTAAAGGGTAGCCTGCGTTAGAGCCCGCAATCTCAACATTATGATAGTCACGTACAAGATAAACACTCGAACTTGAAAAATTAGGAATGACTGAAGAAAAAACTAATCAGAGGCACTATGTACATATTATATACAGAATAGAATGCATGAATGAGCCCAATATGTATGGTCATAGTCCCGTTCATATATCGGGATCACATTGCGGATAGAGTGTGTAGAAATACTGGCAAAGTATTATATGAAATATAGAGAGTTAATTAGGCTTGTGTATACTTAAAATCTGGAAGACCACTCACTGCGTGCATTTGATTAACGGAATGTGGCCGCAGACCAAGTATTTTTCATATTGTAAATGTCCGTCTGTCGACTCGGATCAAGCGATCACTCATTTCAGGGCATTCTTCATTATAATGCGGACATTATATAAGGATATTCTTCTCTGACGAATCGACTTGATCGCAGTGGTCACAGTGTGGAGTCGTTCTTCCTTTTAGGCGATAGAAGAAGGGAGGTGTGTATGTAAAAAAAATGATTGCGATCTCAAATAATACAAGCAACAAAATTAACCCAGAAGTAATCGCAATAATTAACTTAAAAATCAGTAAAAAAGGCTTCCGAAACATGCGACTGAGATCCGCACCACGGAAGAGAAGACGCAAGTATACCTCGTGAAGCACGCGATTGTTCTCCCAGCAGCACTTCGCCGGCCCTTCGTCTCCACACCTGAAGGAAGAAACAATCAGATGGAACTCGCTAATAACGACACGTATCTCAACTGCCATAGCAAGCAGGTAGTCAATAAAGCACAGAAAAATAAAAACAGCGCGCATATCACACAATGATTTCGCTAATCTCCTTCCCTGCACAAGTTTATACTTGTGCCAAGAAAACATTACGTGCTTAATTGAAACGCTGACGTCATCGACGGTTTGATAAACAGAGTAGCGAGAAGTCAACAAACGGGAATCGCTGGGTTTCCAGGCTCTACGCACTTGCTAAGTTGTAGTGGAGCTGCATCTATCACAGAATTTATAAATACATCAATTCCTACACATCTTTTTAATTATTCACTTTATGAAATCACACTCCAACATTAGTATTGATATTTCTCAAATGTGTTGTAGAACTGTGTTTGGCAGTTTTACCAGATAATAAAGCGACATAGCGAATTTTCAGAAAACCGGTTAGAGTTATTTAGCATTTGAGAGCTTCAAGCACAGAATAAACTCACAGACGGCATTCTTTTTTCTTTTATTTGGTGCATTCGGGTTGATTTCGAGCACCTGCAAGTTCAGACTGGAATTCCATAGTACTTTTCCATTTCTCCATTATCACAACTTTTCCGTTCCCTCATATGTTGTCAATATTCGAGAATGCAGTGATACCATGTTTTGTCCTGCACTCTATAATACCACAGACAAGAATAAGTCAAGTCGAATTATTTAATAAAATGCGTACACAGAAGGTGCTCCAAAAAAGAGCAACCGCCTGAAGCGAATACATTCATATTCGGTTTTAATAGCGACAAACGCCATTGGACGGCTTTGAATTTTTCTATTCGGGGCACCCAGATGGAGCCAGCAGGCAGCCAATCTACAGACACAAAGCGGTACTTGACTACGTTCTTTAACTGAAATGTGTGAACCCTAAGAGAATCGCTCATTAAACTTTAAGAAGAAACAGCTGGCTGCTTTTAGCTCCATGTGTACCAAAGCACACAACGTTCGCATGAATTGTGCCCAATCAATGAATGAGTCAATTTACTTATACTGCAGCTATCCTTTCGTCAACATTCCTCAGTTTTAATGTGTGCGCCTTGGATTTAAAGAGGTAGATGTCAAAATGTTAGCCGGCTACACCAAAGCAACTTCACTTGTGCTTAAGTATCCATACGTTCCGTTCTTTGCCAGGAAAATTCACTAGATATCAAAAGAACTGATCAGCAACGGTGTACCACTCGTCTACAATGTAAAAAAGTCGCACTAGCAGCCTTAAGAGAGATTGTAATTACAAGAAAACGTCAAAAAATCAAAAATAAGGTGCCGATGGCGCCATAAGTTTTATATTCAGAAATTTATTCACTACAGGTTGAAAAACCCTACAACAACCTCTATAGGGGCACCAGCTTCTGCGCAACGCCACCTTCACGCATCGTAGTGACTAAGTTGATTGCACGGCCTAAAGTGCCGTGCAATCAAGCTTGCGGGCATAAGTGCGTCATTCAGTCATGGCGGCCGCATTTCAATGGAGGTGAAAAGCGAATGAACATTTAACCTCTTTATTTACACACGCAGTGTAATTAAACACCTCAAAATACCACAGAAGTAGGCCAAATAGAGAAATTACTTCGTCCTTCTTCAGCAGCGATTGCTGTAGCTACAAATTCAGCGCTAAATTTAGCTCCAGTACTGTGAAACCCGAGAAAGTGAGCAGACACCCAGCGATTTTCTTCGTAACAGTCCTCATTGCTCAGTTTTGCAAAATGTTGGTGAGGTCAAAATTTGAGTGGGGGAACCACAATGACCTAAACGACTTCCGACCAATTTGGTATACACAACCATTTATCAAACGTAGCTGAACGTAATATACACACAAGACCCTCCATTGTTTTCCGCCATATAAAATCAACATTTGCGATAAAGAATATCACTTCCAGCAAAATTAGTCAACCAAAATGACAGTATTGAGAATCAGAGATACAATTATAAATAGCTGCGAAGAGAAAAAAATAAGATGGTAATCTTTTCATATTTGCGCAAGGCATTCAACTCTATATAAATAGTACTTTTGCTCTAAGTAAATGGTATTCGCGGCACAGCATTAAAAATACTGAATAGTTATCTAGAATCTTGATTACAGTAGACTTCTTCACAAGATTACAGTTCATGAAAAACGTGTCATTTTTGTAATGTACCACAAGGCTTAATATTTGGGTCATTGTTTATCCGGAATTTGAACTATGTAATAAACATTCCCCAAACCGATGAAGTAAAATTGCACGGGATTGTCAATAATATATTCTTTTTTGTTATTGAGCATCAGAAATCCAACTTTGAGTAAAGTAGCGCTACGTTAGATGAGGACAAGACACTGAAGTACAGCTGCCCATTTTTTTTTTTAACTCAACGCGCAAGCTTCGACCACCATGACTCAAAGTGCTTGTTCCGGCCGTCCTGGCACCCGATTGCCAGAACATCAGAGCAGAAGACAGCTGTAAAAGACTGTTAATCGCGTGCATTCACGTATACTTGTTCATTTCGCCACTGTGTTCTGGTAAACGCCGCTTATAGACGGGGCGTTCGAGGCTCACGCGTTCAGGTTAAATGAAATGGGTGGCTGTACATGACAGGATGGGCAGCATTCTAATTATTGCTATTGAACCGACGCCTACTGCACATTATAGCAATAAAAGACAATGAATGCATGCACAGAACTGCCCCCCCCCCCCCCCCCCGCGGTGTTGTAGTGGCTGAGGTACTTGGCTGCTGACCCGCTGGTCGCGGGATCAAATCCCGTCTGCGGCGGCTGCATTTTCGATGGAGGCGAAAGTGCTGCAGGCCTGTGTGCTGAAATGTGGGCGCACGTTAAAGAACCCCAGGTGGTCGAAATTTCCGGAGCCCTCCACTACGGCGCCTCTCAACTGCACGGTGGTTTTTAAACGCTAAACCCCACACATCGCTCAATGAATACAGGGGCATTCATAAGGCTATAGTATATAGGGTGGAATTTGTGCAAGCTATCACTTCTTTTAGGTATCCAATTCACTGGTACGCAATAAACTGAAACGAGGTTGACGCACGTGTCACCTGTCTTGGCAATGAAAAACGCTTTTGATAGTTCGCGAAATATTCTGTATTCACATTTACTTCTGCTTATCATATATATTTTATCAAGCCAGAAGAAAGCACGAAAGAAAGCATTTCCTGAGCCTTTTGTACACTAAAAATGCGTCCAGGGCCTTCCCCACAGTCTTCAGATGGGATTGAAAATTCTCAGTGCGAGGCACCTTACTCAATGATCAGTTCTCGAAAATGAGCGGCTTCTTGACCCAGCCAAGTGAGCACATGGTTTACGTTGCACATGGTAAGTGAACATGGGCATTTTTCGTCAGGTGAGCACATGATTCAGCCGGACGTGGTTAATTGATGGCTGTCCGGGGTTTTCTGCATCCGAGGGCGAGAAATTACAGATTAAAATGGCAACGACAACAAGCTCCCGCGCAATTTTCGTCACATATGGTAAATAGCGTCAAAACTATAAGCCCCGCCACGGTGGTCTAGTGGCTAAGGTACTCGGCTGCTGACCCGCAAGTCACGGGATCAAATACCGGCTGCGGCGGCTGCATATTTGATAGAGGCGTAAATGCTGTATGCCCGTGGGCTCAGATTTGGGTGCAGGTTAAAGAACCCCAGGTGGTCAAACATTCTGGAGCACTCCACCACGGCATCTCTCATAATCCTATGATGGTTTTGGGACGTTAAACGCCACAAATCAATCTATCAGCAAAACTATAAATGTCAAAATACCCAAGAGCGCAAAGCGTCTTACTGGCGATCGAATGACCCAACGCCTGATTTGAGAATTCATCCGGTGCGTACCAGCCCGTCATTGCGAAAGCTGCATTCACCGAGTGGCTCCCAACCGTTATTCGATCACTTTCTTCTGGAGTTCGGCATAGAGAGCAACCACGCGGGCTACCTTAGCTGTCTGACTTCGTTCGTTTTTCAAAATATTATCATCACAACAAGATAATGACTCATCACTAATATGAGTGGGGAGATATTTCATTAGTTGCTGAAGTTGGTTGCAGGGCTTTTGTTATGTTTACAGAAGTCATATTTGTTGTTTTTTTTTCAGTTTAAAAATAAAAAAAAATCTGCTTCTAAATTCACTTCACCTATCACTTTAACGGTAACTATTCTATGCTGTTATTTCAGGAACAATTGCCAAATATCCTTCTGCGATGTCGTGTGACGTGCAATGAACCGCAAGGGTTCAACGGAGCCTACAAATTTTACACACATCATGCTCTGGAGGGTACACCGTGCCACAGTCAGAACCATAGAGCGGTGCGTATATAAACCGAAATTTTGCTCGTGTTTACAAAATAGTATACGTGTCCGTTTTCGATAGCAGGGCTCCAATTCAAAGAAAGAAACTGATATATCAACTTTGCCCTCAACAAGACAAATGATGGCTTACTTGCCAGCTAATGAGGTGCAGAGTGCCATTTCATCGTTGCTATTTTCATCACACACAACCCCTCTCATGTTCTAAATCAATATGGCGTAGTAATCATCTATTTACAACACGCACGTCTACATGGTGCTCATTATTATGAAACATCATTTGCCTCAGTATGCGGTAACATGCTTCTTCGGGGCACTTTGTATGTTACGCATATTACGCACTTTGCAATATGAGGAAAGAAAAGGTTCAGTGCAGCTTGCAGTTAAAAGTGTGCAAATAACGGCGATACTTATAATTACATTTGGTGTCATTCGAAATGTGAACACTCATGCACTATTTCTAATTGTGTTCCTCGAAGGTCGTAGTATTATTCCGACACAACTTCTATATTTAGTCAACACATCATTCACAATGTTTGCCCGGAGTAACACCCCAAGTCAGGATGGGGCAGAATGGTTTGCGTTGAAAAATTACTTGTGAATTTCTCTTACAATTTCTTCAAAGCAGGCGCCCGACTGCGACAAATGCTGGCGTTGAGTTCAAAAAAGGAAGGATTACAAAAATTGCGTGTAAAGCATGAGAGCCCCGATTCGTGAACAACTGTGAATTAAACTGTTGTTGTTGTTGTTGTTGGTGATGTTGATGTTGATGTTGTTGTTGTTGTTGTTGTTGTTGTTGTTGTTGTTGTTGTTGTTGTTGTTGTTGTTGTTGTTGTCGTCGTCGTCGTCCTCGTCATTGTATCTTATGGGCCTGGCATATACCCAAATACACAATAGGAGCAATCAGCTGAACAGTGTGTGAATTTTTCTTATATGTTTTGTAGTCTATAACCACTAAATGTGATAATAATGTAACAATTCTCAGTGACTGTTATTAGTAATAAAAAGTTTAAAGCAGGCGGAATTCAGCAAGATGTTCTTTCAGTCGCAATTATGAATTTCTCATTCGCACAGAAAACATCATTGTGGCAGTAGCCCATAGTAATGACCTCGAAGGAATGAATAATCGATTCTGCTAATTCCAGGCCATGCTTTCGAAGAGGTTATACCAGTTTTTTTTATCACTGTAGTGAACCGGCGATCAGATATAAAGTATACCCCAATTGTAGCATTTTAAAATCATTTATGTGTGTAAAGATGTGTCCTCTTGATTACAAAAAAACAACATAAAGAGGCAAGCCTGATCAATGAAAATTAAAATTTAAGGTGGGTACGTGGCAACAAAATTTCGTGATGGCAACTTCAGTCATCCTTGAATTAGATCACGTATCTAGAGAAATAAAAGACGCTTGTATGTATACTGGGGGAGCAGCCACTAGCGGGTCTGATAAACTTCTTCTCAATGCGAAATAGCGAAATATCAGCATTATAAAGTGTGTGCTGTTAGTGAGAAAAAACTAATGATCGGCATGAAAAATGACATTCTGGACAGAATATTAGCAATGTCATTTAAAAGAAACCTTTGTAACTTGGCGCCCACATTAAATTATTAAATTAAAAATTAGCGGGAACTATTCATTTCAAGAGCCTCAGTACAGGCCTGTCAGCATACGCAGAATGAAAAAAGACTGCATATAATTAGTCCTTTGTAATTACTCCTACTGGTATTGATCTACCTAACTAATGCAAACCTATTATTATTGTCATAAATTCAGCAAAAAACACAGGAAGAAAACCAGGTAATCACGACGAAACAAAACTCCCTGATGATTACGATGCTGTCTAATGCAAACTCTTAGCGCAGCTTCCTGTCGGTGAAAGACCAACTGTGTTTGAAAAATAGGCGCTGCGTAAGGTACCGACTACGCCATATGTGTCAATTTTTGTAAAGTAGGACAGCACCCGCTACGCCATTATTCGCCTCAGTTCTGTTGATAAGCGATGTGCTGTACAGCCGTCAGCACCTTTAACTTGTACGCTCCTAAGCGTAGCCTGGGCTCGCTTGGACTGAAGTCAGCGTCACCAAGCGTCTAACATGATATGCATCCTGCAGTTGAGGATTGATGTAGCGCGTCTCGGTTTCACTAGTAAGTTTCTGTTTCCAGTCTGCCTGACCAGCGGGTCGAATACATTCATTTGCCTTTCCATTTTCGCCCTGTTTCACTCGCGATAACGCTATCGCGCACACCCGTGGCGTTTGTTGTCTTATACTTATTTCGACAACGAACCATTGCGTGTGAGAGCTCACGCCCCTTCCGTGTCTTTATTCGCAGCAGCTGCTCAAAAGGAAACACGTGTATAAAAAGCAGAGCAAACACACGTTCAGGGCGTTTGTACAAGTTGCTCATGCATGTTCTAATTCAATAATTTTCAGACAGCCTAAATCGAACTGTTCTCGCGATCATGAGTGTACCTACCTTCTCGGTTCCCACTGCACAACATTTTCTGCGGGTAACAACATCTAGAGTTTAGCCTCCCAGAGCCACGACTTCATTATAGGATAAGATGGCAGTTTAGGTTTTTGTGTGACAACTACGCATGAAAGTTGCTGTGTATGCGTTGTATCCATGCATATTTCTTGCTGAAAACAAGCACAAACATTGCGCTCCATGCGACATCTTCTGTGCAGCATGAACCGAACAGAAAGGCACACTTGAAGTTGTGGAAACAGTTCAACTGACGCTGTCTGAAAACAACTGAATCAGAACAAGAACAACGTCCCGGCATTTGAGATTTATTTTTTGTGCAACTTTTACAATTGCATTTAATATGCGTTTGCTCTGCTATTTATAAATGTGATTCCTTGCTGCGAATTCGAACTCATAAGGTGCGCAAGCTGTCGCACGCAATGGTTCATTATCGAGATATCGAGATAAGCATACAACAACAAACGCCATGGGCACGCGCGATGACGTAGCCACGTGCGAAACGTGGCGAAAACGGGATACCAAGTGAGTGCATTCGACCCGTCGGTCAGGCAGACCGGAAACGGAAATGTTCTAGTGAAATGGACGCGCTCTACATCTGTTGCCAACTGCAGGAAGCATATCATGTTTGACGCTTGGTGGCGCTGACCTCAGTTCAAGCGAGCCAAGGCCACGCATCAGAGTGTTCAAGTTAGAGCTGCTGACGGTTGCATCTTCTACACATCTCTAAAGTGACATGTGCACTTCTTAGGTGCTGCGTGTCGCTGATGACGTTGAAGAATTAGGGCTGAGCACGTTGCATAGGGTAGGAAGCATTAAAGCGCACGCTCTTTGCGTAAGTAGCATTGTGTGATGAGAGTCATGTTACTTTACTCTTCTGCGACACTATAGTACGTAGGAGAACGCGATCTCTTGTCGGACATGACGCCTGTGTACGGTCTTTTAGCTAAGAGGTTTCAGGTACGAGCATGGCTCTGTGGCAAGCTGCTCGATTGCCACCTAGGAGGCCAGAGTCCGAATCCCATGTGATGGCGGATGTTCATTTTTCTCAATTTAGTTATTCATGTCTTGATTACGTTACCGATCGTGATGGTGACGCCGCTCTACGAAGTGAGCGCCCTTCGTAATTTCTTTAGAGACAAACATTTCATCAACTGTCTTTTGTTCATATTATAAATCACCACTATTTGTACAGACTCTATGCGCATTGTGATCCACATAATTCAGCGGGAATATGCCCATATACACTGTGTTCATTCATGCGTTATATGCCCTATAGAGTATATAGTTTCTACATCGTTCCTCTGATAATTTTGTCTTATTATTATTCCTATTTTTTGTAGTTCTGTGTTTATATTGTACATTACAGTCATGATGATGGGATAACCGGCTCTAACGTAGCCTACCTTTCCATCGTTTTGCCAAACATTATTAAAAAACATCGTCTTCCTCTTTCGGCAGCAGAGGCGGTATATTTGCTTCTTCATAAGAGTATGGTGATATCAGTTCATGAGCACTCCCAGAAAAGTACGACTGCTAAATTTGTAAATGTGGCCATGACTTGATGTCGAGCATTGCTCAAGAACCAGTACGGGCACAGAAATGCAAACCGAACGTCTAAATTAGACCAACATAAATACAAAAACATCACTTATCCCTCTGTCAACGGGATCGGTAAAACACGAAAATGAAACGTGTGTTCAACTTTGTTGTTAAGCGCTCATTGTGCATTGTTTCACCACAAGAAATAAATTCTATAGCCACAAACTATTTCACAAAGGAATGAATGCTACAGCAACTAATTATGCCTCGAGAAGAATGGCAAGAAGCTCGTAACTTGCAGCTAACTTCTCAACCTGAAAGTCGCACGTAAAAAACATACACAGGACGAGCGGGAACACACAGCTCGTGATTGAAAGCCTGCTGCTCAACCATAAACAACGCATGAAACGAGTGCACAAGTATATATAAGACGAACACACGAACTAACAATGATATTTAGGGTTTAACAGCCCAAAGTAACTATATCATCAACAAAGACGCCGCAATGAAATGCTCCGGATGTTTCGACCACCTAGGATTCTTTAACCAGCACCAAAATACAAGTACGCAAGAGAGCACCAATGCCTTACACAGTAACTTTTTGTGTTTCAGCACCGCGATTTATTCGCAAATGCAGCCGCTTCAGTGACCGATGATAATAATGAAAAAAAAACGTTTAATTATGGAAGAAATTCATGTACAGGAAAGGTACAAACACTAGGCGGGCACTTCTTTACGGGAGACCATTCGCATGGGCCGTGGCCCGGGCACAATCAACGAAGCCCTGTTGGGCCGTCAGGTCAGAGCATCTAAGCTGGGCTTCCTCCCAGTACTTCCGGGGAAGGGTTGAGTAGAGAGGTGAGGTTGGGAGTTTTTTGACACGCCCACACCACGTTGAAGATATCTGAAAAGATTTCCTAACAGCGAAGGCAGTTAGGAAGGCAGTTAGGCAGTTCCCCATGCAAGCGGGGT